ACCCCCAGGGATGCGTGAAGTTGCATCAAGAGGTACGGCTATCAGTAAAACAAACATACACACACGCTCACAAACTTGCACATTTATAATATTAGTGTTATTGCTTAATAAGAAGTACTCAAGGTTTGAGGTCTTTTTTGAAGTGGTACGCAGCAAAAACTATTTGGGAACCACAGCATTAAATTATTAAATGGTCAACAGCTTACACTGTTTGTTTGGATATAACCTATATTCTCGTGTTTACATATCTGTTACTTGTTCACAACTAAACTGCTAAACTGCTGAATGTACATTACATTACCCGTGATAATGGCGGTTGAAACACTATATATAATAAAATAAAACGTGTTAAGATCCCATGATTTACTAATTATACTTATAAGATAGGATCCCATCAAAAACATAAATGTGAAATGATAGCCGAGTTTAATATTATGATATATGCCTTGATTGTTGACTTCTACGACAAAAGAGGTGAGATCTAAATGGGTGCCAAGTTCAATGGTCTGTCCTGAAATGTATTTATAACAATATAAAATATCATTTCTTCTTATAACTTAAATCGGATAATATACTGTAGCCTAAGTTCTAACATCAAGGTACGGCTATCAGTAAAACATATACACAATTATTACTTTCGATTGCTAGTTACTACTAATATTAAAATAGGAACCGACAAGTAACATGTTTAGAACTTGCGAAGGCTTACAGTATATTTCGTACCTAATTACCTATCTGCATGCCAAATTTGAACTTCCTATGTCATATATATATATATATATAATTTTGATCTATAGTTGATCAGTGATAAAAATGACGATTTTTGGACATTAATATCTAAATAACCGTTTGAGATATGTTTACTAAATTTATAAGATATTTAGCTTACATCTCAATATAAGGATAAATGTCAAGTAAGAGTAGTATATATATTCTATTTGAGTATTTAATTGAATTAGTGCTAATTGGTGGTTTGTATTCACACACATAAACTTAAAAATGTAAAGTAATAATAAAATTATTTAATAGAGCAACACGCAAGTTTCTTGCTCGTTCTTCTTGTGATGAGACAGCTTTCCGACTGAGCGGTAGATTAAAAAAATGTAATGACTATTCAAAAGTGCTTCAATGTAAGTTTATTTGAATAAATGATTTTCTATTCTATTCTTATATATAAAGATAAATATAGTATGGCGCCAACACTATCTTCTATACATATATGTATTTTTTTTTATACCACTTAGGTGGCAAACAAGCATACGGCCCATCTGATGGTAAACGGTTACCGTAGCCTATGGACGCCTGAAACACCAGGGGTGTCACATACGCGTTGCCGACCCTTAAGAAACCTTAATATACCCTTCTTGAAAAACCCCATGCTGTAGTCTCTCGAGAAAACCTCGGCAGGTAGTTCATTCATATATATTAACTATATAACACTATCAGTGTCCGGACATGATATAAAACTGGAACTAGACATTGTGTGTGACATTGCCGGTTATTGCTGTGAATGACAATGAACAAAATAGGGCGGAATATCTGGGTTAACGTCACACCACCGGAAGTAAACTGGGCAAGGAAATATTGCTTAGTGCAAGGATTGCTGTTAAAACATCTACACATATAAATAACATTGAAATAACAGTTTTTACTACATAAATATGAATATATATACGGAACATATACCAAAATAACATTTTATATAATTTTTGTCTGTCTGTCTGTCGGTCCGTTTGTTCCGGCTAATCTCTGATCTGAACTACAGAACCGATTGCAAATTTGATTTGCATATTGTGTGCAATTTGATCCAACTTGAAAGATAGGATAGCTTTCATCTCAATACCACAAACAGACAGACAGACAAAATTGAAATAGCCACAGCAACGCCTGGCTATTTCAATTTTGTCTGTCTGTCCGTTTGTTCAGGCTAATCTCTGAAATGGCTAGACGGATTTTGACGGGACTTTTTTTGGCAGGTATCTGATGTAATACTGAGTAACTTAGGGTACTTTTATTTTAGAAAAATAAAGTTAAATTCCACGCGACGTCGCGGGAACAGCTAGTTTTACATATAATCATTGATGTAAAGTTTACAAATTAATAAATATAGATACAGTAATAAAAATGGCTTTTGTAAACCGAGATACTGACGATCTTGGGTCTCTAGCTGGCTTACTTTCACGTGGTCATTGTGTCCCGTGAAATGTAAAGATTAAAAAATAGTTATTATGGGTTACCCATAAGAGATAGACATATATCGTCATAGTCGTAGAGTAGTGACGGATCTGACTATTAATTTAATAGTCGGATCCGTCAGTATTCTACCTATAGTCCGTCAGTATCTATGATGATATATCTATATCTATGACTACCTCGGTGGTCTAGCGGTCTAGTCTACCGCTTTACGACCGATGGTCGCGGGTTCGATTCCTCGCACGGCACAAACATTTGTATTCATGAGTATGATTGTTTGTATCGGTCTGGGTATTTTCTATGTATAATATGTATGTATTTACAAAAAAAAATATATCTATGTATTTGTATCAGTTGTCTAGGATCCATAACACAAGCTTTAGCTAGCTTAACTTGGGTCTAGATGGCGCTGTGTGAATTGTCCTGAGATTATTATTATTATTATTATATATATAAGTATCTATGATGATAGATAGATATGATGATATATCATAGCGGACTTTTTTCGACCCTTTTAAGGTGTACAATACTGTAGTACTTTATTTTGATTTATCTCATGGGGTTCAGCCAGCGTTTGCAATGTAAGCACAAAAAAATGTGTTTATTAACGATATCACATTAGAAAACTCTAAATTTATCAGTGTTTCTCTACATTATTATGCATGTATTATATATATAAACCTTCCTCTTGAATCACTCTATCTATTAAACAAAACCGCTTTAAAATCCGTTGCGTAGTTTTAAAGATTTAAGCATACATAGGGACAGATAGTGATTGCGACTTTGTTTTATACTATGTAGTGAGTTTATAATATAAGTAGCGACTCGATACTATAGGATGTAAACTGTGGATAGAAACTATATATATACAGATAGAAAGGGCTTTTATAAATTGAGATATTTTTACGACCTTCGCTGTGTAGTTGGCTTACTTTCCCATGGTCATAGGTTCGATTGCAATACAGTATATTCAAGTACCTTTTCATTGTCATTTAATGTTAGACATAGACACATATAAATATACACTTCATATTCAAAATCATTTATTCATGTAGGACATTTTAGCCGCTTATGAACGTCAAATTTTTACATTATAATTTTAATTTTTCCCTACCGTCCAGTTCGGTATATAGATTCAATTGGGAAGAACTGGCAAGAAACTCAATTGAATTACTTTTTTTTAAAAGCCAGTTTAATTACAATGTATATTTATATAGGTGTCTATGTCTAATATTAAAGGAACATATATATAAATTCTATACATCATCATCTGCTTCTTCCTTATCCCATTTATTTGGGGTCGTCGTAATATGTTTTTCGTTTCCATTCATCTCTGTTCGCAGTAATCCCGTTATTTACTCCCTTTCTTACCATATCATCTTTCACACAGTCCATCCATCTCTTTTTCGGTCTTCCTCTGCCCTTATAACCATCCACATTCATTTGTAACATCTTAAAATATTATCCTCGTTCCTACGCATTACATGTCCATACCATGATAGACGATTACTCTTCAACCTCTCTGACACCGGTGCCACTTTCATACTTCCTCTATAAATATGTATAAATATAAATTCTATACATAATTTATATTTATACATATTATTTAACAAATCAATCTATTACAATTTGATTCGTTTTATACTTAAAGCGCGACAGACAGACAGACAGAGTTACTTTCGCGTTTATAATATTAGTATTTACACTACAATTCACTGGAATATTCTACGTGTACAGTGTACAATGGGTAATTAGAAAGCAGTATGTAATTATATTAGAACTAATCAAATACTGCGCGATCTTAGTTAACAAAGATACATCGTGCCAAATGGCAATTAACAACATATTAGTACCAGCAAATTAAATACCTACATATAAATGTAGATTGGTTCTTGATGTGGAATAAAATAATAGTTTCTTTTCCTAAACTAGGTGTTAACCCGCAGCTTCGCTCGCGTTAATTTATCCCCTTGCAATGGTGGAATTTATCAAAATCATTTCTTAGGGGATGCCTACGTCATAGTAGCTTTATACATGCAAAGTCTCAGCCCGATAGGTTTAAAATTGACAAAGTTTCATACAAACTTTCATCCCTTATTTTATCCTCTTGGGGGTAGAATTAATCAAAATCCTTTCTTAGCGAATGCCTACGTCATATCATCTACCTGCATGCCAAATTTCAGCCCGATCCATCCAGTGGTTTGGGCTGTGCGTTGATAGATCACTATGTCAGTCAGTCACTTTTGAGTTACATATATTTAGATTTTTAGATACTCAATAGCAAATATTACAACATTACTGTGACCAACCTGCTGGAGTGCTCCTGGAAGTTGCCGCAGTCGAGCAGCCTGACTAGATCACTATGTCAGGCAGTCCTTTGAGTTATATATATTTAGATACTCAATAGCAAATGTTACAACATTACTGTGAACGTCTCTATTTTGCTTTTCGTTTTGTTATTTTGTTTAATCTTCTGTTATTTGTTTTGTTTTATCTCTATTGTTGTTTTGTTTTGTTCTTTTATTCCTGTTTTATATTGTTTTGATTGTCTTCGTATTTTTTATTTTTGTTGTTTTTGTTTCTTCGGTAATTTTGTCTTATGTTTTGTTATATAAATAATTGTATATATTTCTAAAAATATATATATTTCAATAATAATATTCTAATGACACCTACTAAAATCAAAATTTGCTAAATCATAATAAACTCTGCTGAAGCGAGCGTAAACCACAGGCGCAAACGCTAAAGTATTGAGTACAACAAAGAGATTCTCTATTTAAAAAAAAAAATACATTACTGTGACTAACCTGCTGGAGTGCTCCTGGAAGTTGCCGCCGTCGAGCAGCCTGACCTTGGCGAACAGCACCGCCGAAACGAACGGAACCTCTGTCAACTCCTCGAGGCAGCACTGCACGCCGAACTTGTATCGCTTCTTCTTCGTCATGAACGCCATGACGCAGCCAACATCGGGCCGCGGTCCACCGAGCCACCCGAAATCGGTTACGACCGGAGGAGTCCAGATAAAACACGATCACCAACACTACACTTCACATGTGTGTTAAAATAACGCACTTGTAAATGAATCACAAATATTTCAATATACACTATTTATGTAAAACGTGGAGTGAATAACTTGGCATCAGGGTTGCGTCTGCGAGACGGCTGCGCGTCGTGGCACAGTCGCATAGCTGCCGGAGTTATTAGCCTGCAAATGAAGGGGCGGTGGTTAATGACGTTTTGATAACTAAATCATTCTTGAGTTGTTAGGAAGGAAATTAAAGGGTCTAACTTATAGCCCAAGAGCCAACGACGACCAGTATACGTCTTATTAGTAAACGTGAAAGTTCTTGTATGTGTGTCCCCAACACAGGTAAGAACGATCCCCAGGTAACAAAGGTGTAAAAATTTTCATGTCAAATTCGTTATTTTAAGAAACTCCATATATTGTTCGTAGCATTATTATAACTTGCGCTGCTCGTAGCCAGACACATAGTGTGGTTCCAAACCTTATGTGTTTATTTATTTATTTATAAAAAAAATTAATAAATGTTATGTATGTTATCTAATGTTATGTATTTATTTATTTATAAAAAAAAATTGTATTCATATCAGTTGTTATTATTCAAAAGTCTTATTAGTAAACGTGAAAGTTGATGGCGCTGTATGTGTGTCAACATCATTACATAGTATAAAACAAAACTCTGCTGTCTGGTCCGTCCATGTATGCTTAAATCTTTAAAAATTTTCATTTCAAATTCGCTTTTTTTAGTCGATAGAGTGATTCAAGAGGAAGGTTTATATATATAATACATGTACCCATGGCCGCAGGTTCGATTCCTCGTAATAAGGCATCAACATTTGTATTCATGATTATGATTGTTATATTCGTTTGGGTGTTTTCTTTATAATATGTATGTATTCGTGAATTTTTTTTTGTATATTGTATTATTGTCTATCTATAATATAAACTCAGCATTATCACGGTAGATGAAATGAAATGAAATGTATTTATTTGCATAGCAAGTTGTCTATAAATATTAACAAGAATGTCAGTATTAATAAAATTGACCTGTATGAATTGTTTTGGCATGATAATAATATTAATTCATTTAATCATTAACATTAAATTTAATTTATTTATAACAATTGTATTATATGTCAAATATAGGTAAACATGACATTTATTTTGGTTAGGTGTCAATCAATATTATACAAATATATCAAACAATACCATTAATTTTACTATCAAACATTTGTATACATTATTTGATTGTTTGTGTCGGTACATACAACTCCTAGTTTTCTATGTAAAATATGTAGATTTATGGTATAAAAACAATTGTCAATTAGCCAATTTCGGAATTTGTGTATTTAAAAAAATGTTATGGTCAATTCTTTAAACAAACTGACGGGGGATTTTTTTATATTTTTATGTATTTAATAGCAACTTTTTTGATGAAGAGAATTTTACAAATACAAAAAACTAATTTTGTTTGTATTCAAATGAATTTTTTTTTGGATGTTTTTTACCGAATACACCGATCTCCATGATATACAGAGAAGTCACTGTGAGAATTCTATAGTGTATTTGATGACGCTGTATAAACTGTCCTGTGATATTATTATTAATTCATCTAAGCCACTGGTTCCCAAATAGTTTTTGCTGCGTACCACTTCAAAAAAGACCTCAAACCTTTCGTACCCCTTATTGTAGCAATCACACTAATATTATAAATGTGAGAGTGTGTGAGTGTGTATGTTTGTTTTACTGATAGCCGCACGTACTTGATGCAACATCACGCACCCCTGGGGGTACGCGTACCATTGGGAAACACCGATCCAATCATTAACATTAAATTAAATTTATTCATAATAATTTACATTGTGTTGAATTATGAATTTTTTTACATAACATAATTTATAATTAATTAATCGAATGTCTAAAATAAATTCATGTTAAATAAGGAAAATATCAATTTGTTAATAATTATTTATATGTCATGTCCATTAAACTTATCTTATAAATCATTAATTGTATAATAACTATTAATAACACTTCTTTAATAATAAATCCTTTAATTTATGTTTAAATTCGTCTTTATTATAATAAACTATTTAAAACTATAGGCATTTATTATACAACTAGCTGCAGCTCCGACTTCGTCCGCGTGGAATTTAACTTTATTTTCTAAAATAAAAGTAGCCTAAGTTACTCCTTGTTACATCAGCTACCTGCCAAAAAAAGTCCCGTCAAAATCCAGCCATTTCAGAGATTAGCCGGAACAAACGGACAGACAGACAAAAATTGAAATAGCCAGGCGTTGCTGTGGCTAAAGTTCTTGAATAAAATATATTGCGACCATATATTGAGATGAAAGCTACACTATCTTTAAAGTTGGATCAAATTGCACACAAAGTGCAAATCAAATTTGCAATCGGTTCTGTAGTTTAGGAGTCCATCGCGGACAAACAACGTGATACGTAATTTTTATATATAAGGATTATTTCCCCACAGCCTATAGCAGAAAAAAATCGACGGTAAGTTGTTCCAATCAGGTATGAAATAGCGTTAGACTTGGACCCTTTTACTCGCACAATACAAACAAAAATTGAGACTGTAGCGGGAACACAACTACTATTTTATTAAAAATCAAATAATAGTAATAAATGTGTATATTTCCCAATAGGGCACACAGCGAAGGAGGTAAAAGAAATAGTCAAAAGTGACATATAAAATGCAGGATTATGATGAGCACAGACCAATTCGGTAGATGCTTCGACACACATACACATGCACGCACACACACACACACGTAATTTGTAATTTTATAACAATAAATGATAACTGTAATTTTTTTTTGTAATTGTTGCAATGTTTGAGTTTTTTTTTTTGTTTGTTTAATGTGTGTTTTAGTTTTTTAACATCTAGTGAATAAATATCATTTCATTTCAGATATCAAACATACAATGTTTATAAAAAGAATGGTAGACAAGCTGCCAGCAACAAAACAATGAAAATTTTATTCAGTCCGATGGAACTAATAGATCGTATTAATTAACTTGGCTGTGAAGCCTGAAACCATAGGAGTGCTCAGTGAACATTGGACAAATATTGGACACAGTCGTCACTTCATTAATTTACAGGAAACCATTCAAGTATCAACAACTTGCCGCGTACAATTTGGGTAAGTAACCTAAACATGTGACTTCAAAGACGATCTAAAGTCCAGCGATGATAAAATGCCCAACGTCAAGCTGTGTTTAAAAGATTATGATTATCAGGTTATTACGATTGCGTCAATGTACTTATTAAACTGCATTAAACAGACCTAAAAATTAATACCAGCAATTAATTTTCCCTATAAACGGACACAGCTATATGATATGCGACGAAATACGTTCTGTCGCTCATGAAATTAAACGTTCTCATATATAATGCCTGAGGTATTACGCCTAAGTAAGCTGTAATTTCATTGCAAACCGGAACACAACGTGTAAAACAAGCTCCTTGGTGGCAGAAATAAATGAGAAAGAAATTCCTATACACGAAACACAGATTTCACACAAGGTACCCGATGGTGAGAATTTTCTTAAAACATTGAACAATATCAATAAATATATACTGTCTGATAACTTACAGCCCTGGCTATCGATTTGATATCAGCATGAGGCACCAGCCAGTCCTAATGAGGGTAACCCACCGCATTGGCTCGCGATATTTCACATTTCTGTAACAAGGAAAGATTTATTTAATTAAAGAAAACATTACATATAATCAAGTGAATTCATAAATGTAAAGGATGTTCACAATTATTCATATTAGAATTGCAAATGTGAGCAAACTAATTATTGGATTGAACACTGATTGCAGATTCTAGAGATCGTCCTTCGCGTGGTGCCAGTTGCTTGTGTAATACGCTCTCCGTCACAGTTGATTGGTTCAGCTAATGTTTAAAAACAGATTATTTTTTTAAAACCATTTACAATTGTAATGTATGCTTCAGAATTGTAAACATTTAAATTCTTTTCCTTATAATCATGTAGTGTGAAAAAAGCATTGCACAAAAGAAAATATATACAACAAATATCGAGACAGATATTGCAAAATCGTAACTAATTGCGTCGAAGTCTCATAAATTAAGCTATTTATAGCTGGTCTGCGAAAACATGAATCGTGTTACGTGCACGAACGCCAGATGTAGAAAATTGTTCACTACCTGTTACATACCGCTCGTATCATCTAATAAGCTAACAATGTTTGATATAATGCTAATAGCGGCCTGCTCGGACTATGTGCTGAGATGGGAATGTTGGCGGGCGGCCAAAGTGTTCTGATCGTCACCTTGAAACTTTAATGGACTAAAGGTTCGCCCATAGGGCCCCAGGGAGATCCAACGGAACAGATGTTCAAAGACAGCCTGTGGATATTCTAATCACGCGGAATTTGATAATAGTTCAGTTTTTTAGAAGGCGCTGAAAAAGCTGTTGAATAAAGAGATTAATAGATTTACTAACAGAATATAAATAATCTTTTGAACAGTATTTTTTTATTCTATCGACATATTAGAAAAGGGCAAGACATTTAGTTGGAGCTCTGGTATTTTTTATTTTACCTAGATCAAACTACCAAACCTTAAAGTAATAATATTTAAGATACCAGACAATACAATTAGAATTTTGCGACAAAACAAATCTTTCATTAATTAGACAGACTTATTAAGGATGGAATAAAGACTTAGTAAGGAAACATTCCTTTTTAGGTAACAATTAGTACATTTTTTGTTTTATATGTCTGGTTGTCTATAAGAGGTTGCTTTGTTTTTTTTATAATTATATGCTTCTTTTATGCTCAATAAAGACTTTTAATTATTACTATTTTTATATTGTGGTGAAGAATGTAGGCGTGGACGAAGTAGGCGATCGATCTCAATGAAAACTAGGCATCACCTAAATGCAAAGCAGAGCAAGCAATATGCAAATAATATGGTCCATTTATTGTTATCATCTTGGTACAATTTTAGCGTAACATTAATGAGTCAGGGAGTTATCAGCGGATGGTGATGGCGCCGGGGCAGATAACAACTAATGAGTACAATCACGTTTTTTTTCGGACTACTCTAATGCTGTTAGCCGCAGATGGCCTTTACAGCTTCATAGAACGATAGGGGGCGGTGCAGATGGCACTACAAACCAAGAAAGGACTTATAGAGTGGCTGAAGGTCAAGTCTCGCCTGACGACTTTAGTCTGAGGAATAGCTAGGAGTTCGAACCTCGGTTCTGGCCGTCGTAATTTCGATCCCCGTTTCAATTGGACGGATGATCGATCGGAGGAAACGCTGTAATCTCTTTAATAGACAGATTTTGAATTAGAAACGAAGTGACGCAGTAAGCTGAAGAAAATACCAAAAAATACATTTTGTGAGTTGAAAACAGTTAAAATTATATGTATGCTACAATAACAGTAAATAAAATTACTCCCTCGATCCCATTTATTACGTTCAACATATACTGTACTCTCACCTTATAAAACACTTTATCTAAAAACGTATCACGATTCTGAGAATGAATTCTTTATTAACATCTTTCCTCGTGTCTGATAATAGGAAATCCGTGTTGTACGAAAATGTAGCTCAGGGGAATATCGTACATGAAAAGGTACATGATCGTTTATAATAAATTTAATGTTATTTGTTACAGTCTGAACATTTTTTTACATCCTCCTCTTTTGTTTACATTAATTCTACAAGTTACTAGTTTTACCAATGTGTTCTGTTAGATTTGGTGTATTTTTTTTTTATTTTCTTTAAAAACAGCATCTAAACGTAATTCCCGATGATCCATCCAATTCAAACGGGGATCGATGTTACAACGTCCTGGGCCGAGGTTCGGACACCTAGCGGTATATATGTCCTCAGACTAAAGTCGTATCCGTAAGGCGGGAGTTGGCCTTCAGCCGCTCCATAAGTCCTTCCGCGGGTTTCGAGTGCCATCTGCACTCGCCCCCTATCGTCCGGTGAAGCTGTAAAGAACAGCTGCGACTAACAGTTTTTTATTTGTTTGTTATTCTATTGTTCTTTTATTTTTATTTTCTATATATAATGTATTCATCTCTAATTTAATGCACTGTTTTTTATTTACATTTTGTCAGCATCGTTCTTTGTGTTGTGATGTGTGATGTAAGAAATGTTATTCTATTCTGTTCTTATTCTAAAATACAAATAAAAAAATGTAATAGCCGCATCAAATTTAAAACAGTATATAATAGTATTATGGGTAAAAGTTCAAGCAGAAAATATAACATGTAATATGAACTTCAAAGGTTAGATATAAAATAAAGTACAGTCGAGTCACGACCTTTACGTTACTGTAGGGAGAAATTTACTGAGATACTTGAGCGTTGGTTCATACACTTAATAAACTTAAAGGCTGAAAACCGTTCTGCCGTAAGTTAACGATAGAACAACTTTAATAATGCAAGTTATAATTTTATGAATAATTTTATAGACATACTAGGTGTACCGGCAAACGTTGCTTTGCTATATAAATTAAAATAGCTATTAAAAATAGGGCTAGATGCTAGAAGGGTTAGGAGTGGACAAGCCTTATCACTGGGGGGAAGGGGATTATTAGTAATGTGGACTAATAGCTAGCGACCATTGCTAGCAATGTACCAAGTCAAGTTGACCTCCAAGTGGCCCTGGAAATCATCGTGATAAATCCTTGGTGAATTTGTCACGATGGGCTAACTGACCTGACCTCATGTTCATTTTATCATCCTCCACTGGTGCCCCACCACCATGGTGCACCATTACATTATTAAATTCCATCCATAAAAAAAAATTAACAAGTATGACCATTTCAGCATTTTCATTTCAGGCTGTGGTAATTGTCCAGGGTTATTTATTTTATATTGGTATCATTTGAGCGCAGATTCTTTAATTATTTCTCCATTACGTTATGCTATGAAGAGATGCCGCTGTTTGAACAGTCCTTAGATATTATTAATACCACTTATAACAACATTTAGAATTAAAAGGCGAGTCTGGCGTGGCGTGACGTGTGGCGGCGTGGTGGGCCGGGTCATTGGGCTCCCTAAAATATGGTCGAGCGCAGAGATGGCTGGCTCATCCGTCATACTCGTGATTGAGTGCTGCTTATAGGGACTAGTCTGCTCTTATCACCACGACTGACTTAATTTTATTGTATACATATTTGACCCAAAAAAAAATTGTGCTGGTTGGTAGTTTGTATTCACACGTTTCGACTTGTAAATGTAAACTTACAAGGATTATTTAAAAGAGCAACACACAAGTTTCTTGTTATTTCTTCTTGTAACGAGACTTGCGAACTTGGGAATGAGCTCTCCGAACGAGCGGTAGATAAAAAAAATTTAAGACTATTCAAAAGTGCTTAAATTAAGTTTATTTGAATAAATGATTTTCTATTCTAGTCTAAGACTGTCGTATTTTTAATCTGTAACATGTGTAACATATCTTTCTATTATTAGCAATCTCGACGCATATAAACACGCGATCATTTGTCGATTAATCTGCTTGCTTTAAACAGGCAAATTACTTGTAATAGACAAACAAAAAATAATAGCGTAATAATTCAACAAATACTCTAAACGTGACCATAGACATTAATTAACTGCCGCAAATAAGTTTATATAGATTAAACATAATATCTCTAATAATAAGTAGTTATTACAAGACATACGTTAAACATTAATCCCTCTTCTGGGATAAGTCATCAATTGTATTTATAATATTATTGTACAATAAAGTACACACAAACAAACATTTATATTGCATCTCTCTCTCTGGGTGAATGTGTGGTGTGACAAGAATGGATAAAATAAAGAATGAATACATTAGAGGAAGATGGAATGAAAATGGCGCCGGTGTCGGAGAGGTTGAAGAGTAATCGTCTATCGTAGTATGGACATGTAATGTGTAGGAATGAAGATAATATTTTAAGAAAGGTGTTACATATGAATGTGGATGGGTGTACTCATACAAAACACCTACAAGTCATGCACGTGAATACAAGTGTATAAACACTGTATGTAACAAATGTATATACTGTGCGGGGATATACTGGCCCTTTATGAGGTCATGTATGTCTGTATGTAAACTACGGATGTACACAATTAGCAAATAGTAATTACCAAAATGAATTAGTACACTATTACGCGTGTAATGTAATGGAAAATCGAGGAATACACGGAAATATGGTTAACTGCTAACTAATAGGTGTTCATGTTGTCAAATTAGAACATAAATTTAGGAACCAAAGGCATTTTCCAAACACAGGTACGCGATTCAAAACATTCCTCTTTTACTCGACAACTCGACACCACTCGGGGATCGAAATTACGACGGCCTGAGCCGAGGTTCGAACCCCTAGCTCTCATCCTCCGATCGATCCCGCGTCCAGAACAAGTGAGGATCGAAATTACGACCCCTAGCGGTGGCCTCAGGTTAAAGTCGTATCAGGCGAGAGTTGGCCTTCAGCCGCTCCATAAGTCCTTTGGTTTGGAGTGCCATCTGCACTCGCCCCCTATCTGTAAAGCTGTAAAGGCCAGCTGCGGCCAATAGCATTAGAGTAGTCCAAAAAAAAATAAACTCGTATCAGTCTGACGCAGTACATAACTCAACGGTTGAGTCAGCTCGTGACCACGGCTAGTGCAACGTAGCTAAAACTTCATGATGGAGGACTGGCCGAA